AAGCCTTGAAATTCAAGATAAATACGTTGACAATTGGATTTTTGTATTGGTTGTAAAAAAAATTGGTACTTCTCACTTGAAAGCCTCGCGTATTTATATGTGGCACGCTTACCATCTATAAACAAAAGAAAAAAAAAAATTTGAAGCTGTGTAAAAAAATAACAAAAAAAATTGAATTGAAAAGTGTAAGTTGTATTTGTTGGGAGCGTCATGATCGTACTATTTTCTTAATTACAGTGCGAAAATGAAGAAATAAATCGAAGGGTTAAGTAGTTAAGTGTAATATAAAAATAAAATTTGTGTTAAAGTGTCTTAAAAATGTGACCCTATTTATAATATAATGTGTAAAAAAAAAATTAATAAATAAATAATACCAGAAAAAATATGTGGCTGGTGATAAATGAAACTTTTCACTAATTACACGCATAATACTACAGTTACAATGAAAAAAGTTTGTTAATTGACGAGCCAATTAAAAAAAATGTCGCTATGATTTTGAGTGAAGAAACAAAAAAAAACTAAGATGAAGGGAAATGAGATCGGATGTTACAATTGTTATAAAAATAATTTGAACAATAAATCACGAAAAAAAATAAATAAATAACAAGTGATACTTGTATTTAGCATAAAGTATATGTTTTTATAGTCTAATGTCTGAATTCTTACTATTTATCTTACGTTGCTGATAAAAAAAATTAATTTTCGTAAAAATAATGCGATCGAATTTTCGACTTGCAACTTCATTTTACTTTTTTTTCGACAGATTTCTTCAAGTTTACAGTTTAATTTATTGCTGTATTCATCTTTATGACGAAAAAAATTAAATTGACTAACAATTTTCCGATATTCCTTTTATTATACAAGTATTTGTATAACTGATTGATTTAATTAGGAAATATCACTCCTGAATGAATGAAGAAAAAAAATCATTGCGCGATTACAAATATATGTATGAAAATACAACAAAGCACCGGATTGAAAAAAAAAACCATATGAAAAATAACGTTCTCTGTTTATTATGTAACAATTTTTTTATGAACAATATTATACTTCTATTAAAGTTATTTATTATACCGACAACCACATTGTTATACGTATTTTCCAAACAAATTGAACAATATTATTCTTCTCTGTAACAAACGAAAATCGCAGTGCTCGTACTACCTCTCAAAAAATACATATAAAGCACACGCTCGCAAGTAATTAAAAACAAATAAAAAAAAAAAAAAAGCTTCCAGGATTTGTGAAAGAATATTGCGTCATTCTTGCCGAGCTGATCGACTCGTCCAAACAAAATTGATATATTATTGCAAATGAAAGAAAAATAAATAAAAATAAACAAATAAAGCAACGAGAGGATGATAGTTTTTGCCTTCCTTTTTTATATTTATACCGTAAAGTTTTGCAATTCTTAAAAGTAATGGTGCTTTTTTTGGAAATTGTCAAACATCACACACAAAACTACTGTTTGAATGGAGAAAAAAAAAATAAAGACATTTAGCAAAGTAAAACCCATGACCCAAGCTGTTGCATCCCCTCTCTCCCAATTTGATTAGCCTTTCTTTTTCTTTTGACGAGTGGAAAATCAATTTCCCCAGTGATTTGTACACATGTGCATTTACATTCGTGTAAGTGTAAAGAAATATTGCATGAAACATATTTTGTATAAAAAAATACTATGGTTTGAGTTGAGAGAGAGAAAAAAAAAAACCAGAACAAAACACTAATTATAAATGAATGCAACAGCAAGTATTTACTAGTTGAATCGTATAACTTGACTGGCCTGCAAATAAACACATAGAAAAATGGAAGAGGCTCGGGAATTATATAGATGGTGCTGGCAAAGCTTAAAATAAGCTACCTCGCGTTGTGAAAATTATTAATGGTAAGCAATATCAACTTGACCGAAGATAGTAAATATATTGCGGTGTGTTAATAAAGTACTCAAGTGAGCTTATACAAGCAAGTCGAAGAATGTAGCGTATGAGAGAAGAAACGGAGTTTTAGAGATATACATAGAGAGAATACTTGAAAAACTCAAGCGTCGCGAAAGCATTAACCACGAATCTGTCGAAATTGTTCGTTAATAGTATCCATTTTTCAGCATAATATATTAGTTAATGGAAAGTGAACTCAGCATCACAGTTTAAGTAAGCTTGTCCTTAAAATGATGATGATGATATCGATCAACCGTGTTGATTCGAATAGCAGTAATTATCAGTTCATTTTTTTCATCCGTAAAATCGTTTTATGAAAAATAAAAATGTAGGATGAAAAAAAAAAAAAACATTTTTTTGTGCATTATATTACAGTTGATCAATCAACCATCAATGTTAAAGGTAAAAGTTGCAATGAACTTGAGGTGGTCTCTAGCTTCTTCCAATTATACATAAATGATTATAACGATAAATGATAATTTGTAGCGATTAAATATAAAAAGACACACGAAGCGATTTCACGTTGTCATTGATAATGCATTATACATATATTTGTAGGGAGAAACAAAGAAATATTCGTAAAATACGAACGGCTGGAAAAAAGTGTATAGCTTAGACAAAGACGTAATGGAAAAAAAAA